GCCTCATGGCTGGAGAAGCTCTTCAGCATAGCCACCTCCTCCTATAACTCTCCCACTTGCTGCCTGGAATTCCACTAACAGGCACCTTCCACATTGGATGGTCTCCCCAGCCTGGATTTCAGGGTAGGGTTGTGGCGGGAAGGAGTGGCTTGGGGGCCAATAGCCCCCCCACACTTGCATGAATCTCAGGCTGGATGATGCTGTCCCTCCAGCCAGGAATGGCCCATGGTTTGTGAGTTTTAGACTGCCACTGTAGGCCAGGGAAGCTCCTTTCTGTTTCAGGAAGCAAAGGACAAACGTGTATAGACCACAGGCAACATCAACTCTCATATTTTTCATCTCATATTTGACAGTTCACTTAAAGCCTCAACTCCCAGCAAGAGCCCAGCGGCTGCTGTTTTTAAGAAGTGTCAGACCTGATGGGCGCATAAAGAACTAGGTAAAGCCGTGTCACAAGAACTTCTTACCTGCAGGCACCAACCTGTGACACCGGGGCTAAATTAAAAGAGCCCCTCAATTATCAGGCTCTTGGGGAACACCTGTACTGCAGCCACGGGCCACAGGATTTCGGCTGCGGCTGAGCAACTGCTTATCAGTCCGTCCTGAACGTGGGCCCCCTCCCACCGCGCAAGGTCCCAGTGACAGGAGGCCTCCAGGCCGACCGGGGCCAGGCGGTCACCTTACTCCTCCCCACCGGGGCGCGCCTTCCTCGCACCAAGGCCCTGGAACCCGTGAGTACGAGACTCCCGAACCGCGCGGCTGGAGGGAGGGCGGTGATGGAACGTGCGCGGTGGGGCTGGGGGTGGGGGTGGGGGCCCTCCCACCGCGCAAGGTCCCAGTGACAGGAGGCCTCCAGGCCGACCGGGGCCAGGCGGTCACCTTACTCCTCCCCACCGGGGCGCGCCTTCCTCGCACCAAGGCCCTGGAACCCGTGAGTACGAGACTCCCGAACCGCGCGGCTGGAGGGAGGGCGGTGATGGAACGTGCGCGGTGGGGCTGGGGGTGGGGGTGGGGGACAGGCGGGAA